CAAAAACCGTTTTATATATCGATTATGATATTTATATATGTAATTGCTTAAAATACAAAGAAATAAGCATATTGCAATTTATTTTCATAGTATTAATCAAAATATTCACTTATTCAAAAAATATATCAAAATTTTGCCCGGGCTGGCCTATTTGTGAGGTCCTATAAATTCTTCCATCCGGCCCAGTTCAAAATTTTTGCATATGTGAATGGCCCGGCTCGTTACAGTTTTTTTAAAAAAAAATTACCGGTCCAGCTCGACCCAGGGATCTGGCTTTGGGATTTTCGGACGGGCCGAGCTTTGCAGATCCTTTCACATTGATGTCAAAAAGGTGCGCTAATTTTTCTCCAAAAATGAGCTTTGAGATTAAACAAGTTTAACAAGTGCGCTTGATGTAAATGATATTTTATATTTAATAAACATAAATTTTAAATTTAGGCCATCATCATACAAAAAAAAATTAATGAGATATGAATGTCGTATTAGGCTATGGAATTCATGGTGTAGTCCTGTATGTCCAAAAGGCTGGGCTGAACTGCATCAATAAATACAATATGTCATATTTCCTTCCTATTCTCCATTTTTTGCCTGATTGAATATCACAATTATAAAGTAAATTTGAAAAAATTAGGAGTTGGAAAATATTGACTATTCATTTTATCATATTTTGAAATAAATAGAAAAGCCTTATTAAATATCAAAATTATTTCTGAATATTTAAATTCAATACATATTGAATAAAATAAAAATTCTAGGTTTGAGATTTCTTTCCTACTTTTTAAAATTCGTGCCACAGCCTTAATAAGAAGTGCCGGGCTGGGCCTAGAACTAAATTTTCTTGTATTTTAACTTTATAAAACATTTATTTTTTTAAATTTATTATGCTTAGATAAAAACATGTGTGGATAATTATAACTTATGCTAAGATTTTATGGTATTCGATATTATAACTAATATTTTCATTAGGATAAAATTTTTCCCTAAATGAAAAGGTTAAATAAAACTTATGTAAGTTGCGGAGTTTAGGAGACCTAAGTCTTTCAAAAATGACATAATCTGAAAACTATTGTACCCAAATAAAAAAAATTTAAATATAATATTTTAAAATAAATTTAATGAAGTACTGTAGATTTGATAACCATTTTCATGAAATATTAGTTTTAACATGTTTAAAGTTCTATAGATCTCATTAGTACTGAAAAAAATTGCCTTTATTTTAGAGATCCTTCAACTGTGAGCCAGTTTTCTCTAGATCATCCTATGCTAATAATGTTGAAACAACATTGATAATAGATAAAATGGTTCAATCACAATATGAATACTGAAATTCGAATTGAGCAATAAAGACCCCCACCTCCTCCCCATTTCAATATGCAATAACGTAATTGCATGGTATGGTACCCCTTACGTGCTAGAGGGCCCTAAATTGAGTTGCAATTCAACATTTAAATCTTTAATTATATTGACAAAATTATTAAAATTATTATCATAGAATACTAAAATCTTAAATGTTATACAATATTTATGTGTTATGTAAATTAAAATTTAAAATACTTCTCATGAATTTACAATTTGATTTGTAATAAAATGTATAAAATTAATTTACATAGATAAATAACTATAAAATATTTTTTCTCATCAAGATATAGAAAATGTAGAAGAAAATATCAATTTAAATTCACTAAAAAAATTCGCTCTTATTAGATTAAAATTTCTTTAAACCAATTTTTACTTTGTTTTTAAAGAAATATCAATCTTATTAATTTATATCATTTTGCTTTAAAATGATTACATTTAATTTCATATAGATGTGAAACCAATATCATTATACATCCCAGATAAGTTTTTCTGGAGAACAACTTATCCAAATTTGAAAGTTGGATTTTATCGAAATAAATCCCAGTATAGATGTCTGCAATAGGTGTGCTTTTTCCTACCCATGTGCCTATTAATTATTAATTTTTCAACCCCTCAGAAAGATCTATTATTTTTTAAAATTCACCCGCCAGCACAATGCTTACAAATTATTTGACTGTTTAGCTTGGTTCTTTATTTTTATTTTAATATTATTTTTACTTATTCTTATAAAACATGCAATATTAAGAAATAAATTAATTTTTAATACACATAAACACCTCATTCCGGCGAAATATTTTAATCAGCCTAACTGTTATTTTAAAAATATTTTTTGTCCGCCAGCCAATGGATAGATTAAAAAAATTGTCCGCTGTAGATTTTTATTCCAGCATATATGTAGCAATGTATCTATTTAATCCAATTTTGCGGTGAACTTTGAAACGAATGTTAATTTAAAATTTATATATGTATTTTTTTTCTTATAAATTAAAAATATGCAAACAAATACATGGTAAAATTGTTTGAAATTAATAAGGTAGATACTCTATACATCATGCCGTAATACATTTCGGGAAAAATCATATTTTATTTACGGTATTTTTTTTCAGTGGAATTATTATTTTATACAAATAAATTATATATTTTCTTTTAACCCTTTGGTTAAAATTTGTAAATCGTAAATTTTTATATATTTATAATTAAAAAAAAGGTATGTTATATAAATGAATAAAGTAACTTATAATGTATGTAACTAGTTATCTTTTTAGGAATGTAACTAGTAACTTTAACGTAATTTTTGACAACACTACTCATTTGAAGGTTCCAAAAATGAAACTACATCTTTAAATATAACCTTTCTTAATAGATATTTTTAATAATAATGTTCGTTAGGTGTTAGTGTTGCAAACTCTAAATGATTGTTAAAGTTAAGTGATTACTAAAGTTTAGCTAATAGCGTATCTTAGATATTGTGTCGGTGTATTTTTTGACGATATTTTTAAAGGTTATATCACCTGTTCTCTGCTTCATAAAGCATTTTGTTTTCCTTCTTAAGAATTTCTTCAGATCCTCTACATACTCAAATGAACAACGGTATTTTATTTACAGTGACTTATTGAGGTCGTATAAAATCGAAACTAAATTCATAATGAAGAATATCACAAATCTCAATCCCAATCGTTTTATTCACATGCAGCTTAATATCCTCTCAACTACATTCCAGGACCATTTTAGCTCTAAATTCTTCTCAGAAATGCTGCCACATGTGGTTCAACATATTTAGAGGTACTCTCGATGAAATGTTGCTTTACCTGCATCTCCAATTAAGGGTTACAGGACCAGGGTACCTAGAAAGTTGCCAGATCCCACCCAGCAATAAATCAGGGATTTGTTAATGGATTTTTAAACTTATTTCATCCAAGATAATGATTTAAATTATATTTATATTTATATAAAATATGACCCTCTTCCCTTTTGTGTTTCTGTTGAGTGCTTCTTTAGCATTGTTAAACAGGTTTTAGGGGAGAGTCGTTGTTTTTTCTCTATCAGATTTAAATTTAGATTTGCTACTGTAAAAAAATAATAATACAATTTTTTTTAAAGCCCATTTTCTTTGAAATAAATAGGTAGATAAAAAAATATTATTGTTTTGATACTTTATCATCGCAAAATATAAATTGAATAAAATGGATTGAATGAATACTTATTACCCAAAAAAAGGATTAAAATCAAAGTAGCGGCCCACCTTTTTTTAAAAAATTTGGAGCAGGAGATCAAATGGTAGAAGCAGGAGATAACTTCTTTTAAAAGGAGAGTTAATAACTCTTGTTATAACAAAAAAAAATTTAAATATTCGTTTTTCTTTAAATCAGTTCCATTAGTTATATCATACATCATAATACGCATCGCTTTTTTCGTTGTACGAAACAACAGATTTACGCTTACACTCTCTCAATTGAATTAAAAATTTGGGGGCATCTTATGAGAGGAGGCTTTCCCAATTTTTGGACAGGCTTCAGTTACCCGTACATAAAAGGGTAGATATATGCAATAAAACCAGTTTTATTAGCCCGAGCTCGTCCTAGGCCCGATGGTACTTTTTCAAACATAGGTCGGTCCAGACCTTAGCCCGAATTCTTGATAAAACTTATAGACAAGAAATCTCAAACTCCAAATATTTATTTTAATTGATTATTAAATATTAATATTTAGCAATAACACTGATAATTTAATGATGATTATTTTATTTTTTTCTGTTCATTACAAAATATGATTTGAATATGAAATATTCCCCATCTCCTGATTTTTTAAAACTTTACCTATACGAAACTCTTGTATAAGGAGACTAACTTTTACCAAAAATTTCTAACAGAAAAAATATCATTAAAACAGTCTGAGATCTCGTCAGATAAATTACTTATTTGGACATTACTTATATCCCTCAATCCATTCATAATGCAAAAATTGGTAAAAAAATTGATAAAATAAACTTAATAACGACATCTTCAACCTATCGTTTGGTTCACAAATAGATATTCTTCACTAGAAACATGCAAAGTTTATAAAATTATTAAGCTACAAAATTCAAGCATTCACTAATAAACAATCAGAATTCTTTAATCGAATTGAAATTTATATTATATAAACACCCCCCCCCCCTTCCCACCCCACCCAAGCATTTGAATACGATTTCTTATATTTATTTTGATAACTAGATATTTAATTATGAGTTTTAAATAGATAATTAATTTGTATTGTGTGATTTTGATTATTATTTTAAGTGGAATGACCTGGCATATATATGCTAATCTATGATTTAGATTCCATATTTTCCCGAATTTAAAGATTATAAAGTAAAATGAAAAATCATCCTTTAAATGTTTATCAATTATCTTATACATTTTTAAAAATTAGCACTTTTACTTGCAACCATAGCTTATGTTTAGGGCACCTGGAAGGAATGGAAATGGACCCCACTAAAAAAATATTGTAAATAGAATAACTTCAAATTCCCTTAGAAAATAGTAAATTTTTAAACTTTCCCTATGTTATATGCAAAATATCTACTTTTAATGATTTGATTTTCATAATTATCACAATCAACCTGAAAGCCACTTATTAACAATCCTTAATGAACATGTTAATAAAATGTGATATATTTTTTTTATTATAAATTTTGGTATCCAAAGCTTTATTTCACAGTCTAATAATATTCAAGATATTAAATAGATATAATATATTTCATAGTCACACAATAAAAGAATTTGTTTTAATCATAATCATAGCGATAAATATATGTAGGGGTATAAAAACAAGGTAAAATATATATATTGAAAAATATCGTTTAAACGATTTCGAAGTCGCTATATTTGACTTGGTTGTGGATACAAACGACATTCTCTTCTGGGTTTTTTGGTTGAGATATATTTTTGATGATCGAGGAAAATAATTTGGAAGTCTTAAAAGTATCATTATTGTCTCTAGATTCATCTATACAAGAAACATGCGTAATGGGATCTATATGATTATATAATATATATAAATATAAATTTTTTATTAAAATACTATATCTCTAAAAGTTTAATTGTATTTATATATCTATATTTTCAAGGAATTTTATGCTAATAAGATATATCACCCTAATCTCGCCCTGCCCCCTCTCCCAAAATAGATGGGGTAAGTTTATCTGGAATAAAGAAAAATAAGTAAATATCCTGTGTAGATGAATCTCCCAGATTTATACTATTCACTGAGTGCAATTTTTAAAATTGAAAATAGTGATTTTATCGGAATTGAATTCCAGCATGTAAAGAGTATGTACCTTATTAATTTAAAGCGATTTCGCTATATATTTATTATTTTATAAAAAAAATAATAACATAAAAATAACAATTTTCCAAAAGTTTTATGGGAATTCTATTCCGGTAAAATCATATTTTTAAATTTAAAAGGCGTCCATTGGTTTAAAATTGAGAAACTTCGAATTATCACCACGGATGAATTTAGGATTAGTTCCTATTCCACATAAACCTACAGCATATACAATATTCACGATAAACAAAATATTAAATGAAATATATATATTAAGTTAATAATCTTTTAAATAATGACTAAATAATTTTTTTAAATCGAATAAATATTTGAATAATTTAATAGATGTTTATTTAAAATGTTTTTTTTAACGTTTTCAGAAAAAAACATTTTATTAAATGAAAGTGTAAACCCAATTTTTTTCAAAATTTGTAACTCGGTCAAGGGTCTGCAATGGATAGACCTAAGGTCCTCCAATAAAATTTATTGGCAAAAAACCTCATAATGGTGCTTTTTCAAACTTAGAATCCTTACCGCGCGTATTTGTAGTCCTAAAAATAATTTATAAATAGTTTATTAAAATGACCACTCATTAAAGTTTCTAAAATCAAATGGGAGTGGAGATAAGTTTTTCCTATATAAGCGTAAGGGTGAATTTTATCATAGTTAGAAACGAAGTTAGAAGATGAGGGTATAATTAGTAAATTAAAACCGCTTTTTAAATTTATTAACTTAGAACTATCGATTTTTAATACTTTTATAATTCTATAAAAAAATTTACCTTATATTTTTATAAATGGTAACAAAAATTTGTAATTTATTTAATGTAAAATTAGAAATAATTGTCATTTTACGATTATTATATTAGAAAAGTGTACACAACTTTAACCTCAGATAAATTTTTGAATCTTATTTGGATAAGGTGTAAAGTTTTAAAGTTCTAAATCAATATGTTTGTATAATTTTGGGACCCTAGGAGTAATTTTATATAAAAGGTAAATGCCTATCTGAGAATTATAAAATTGGTCTTCCGAAATTTTAACCTAAATGTAAAATTATTAAATTTAAAAAAACCCAAAGACCTGCAAGTCCGACCCTAAATGGACCAAAAATGGCCTGATCTTAATAATTAGATATATGGGTTTAAAATTTTTTTAAATCCGGGCCAAGCTAATTTAAAAAAAATTAAATTATAGCATTTTTTTGTTATATAATATCCTTTTGCAATATCGCACTACTCCGGACCTAATTAATATTGAAAAAAACACTAAGTAACTAAAAGGTCTATATATCAATTGATCAATGGGAAATAATGTAGTGTTTAATATTTTCAAAAAAATGAAAACGTGCATAAATCTGTTAACATTAATCAAGCACAATCTAATTCACATTTATGTTTAATACGTGTTTATTAGCAATAGCGTCACTAGAGGTGAGGTATAGCGGCTCGAGCCCCCTGAAATATTTTGATTTTTTTTATATACCAAATGTAATTTTGATAATGTTTGCAAAAAAAGGTAATTTTGAAAATAAATTAAATAATTTTTTTTGAGCTCCCTGAGATTGTAAAGGCTAGTAACGTATTAGAGATCTGTAACGCACGGCCCGAGGGCTGGGAAAATGTTTGAAAAAGTGTAACGGCCCAAACAATTTGTTTATAAATGTTTTTGGGCCTGGCCGTACAAAAAAAATCAGGCAAGGCATCTCAAATCGCTGATTTTTAGCAAAATTTTAATAGGCCAGCCCGGGCACTAAAATGTTGTTATATTTTATTGAATTTTAAACTAATATTTGATAATAAATTACAAAATGCTTATCCTTTATATTTTAAGAGCTGTCCAACTAAAATATTAAATCTATAAATAATATGGGAAATTCACAAAAAATCAAAAAAATTATTTCTGAGATATGATCTAAGTAATAGACATTGCGAAAAAATTAAATATATATATGAATATTAAAATAGTGATGGCAGGAACAAAAATTTAAGAGACCGGAGAGAATTTTTCCTAAAATTTTAAAGAGCAGGTCCTGTATTTCTAAAATTTTAACAGGCCAGGATGGGTAAATTTTTCACGAGTCGGGCAACTTGTGAAACTAGGCTGAGATTTGTTCCCTATTATGAACTATAATACCCACTGCCGAATATTAATTTACTAATATATATTGTATATAGTTTTTTTTTCAAGCATCTATTCAAACATTGGGTATGAAATATAGGGAATATTTCATTACACATGTGTATTCTTAAAAACAAAGTTGCTGAATTATTAGTAACAAATCCGTAAATCTGATTTATTTTCCCTGATAAATTAATTTTTTACGTGGAATATAATATAAATGACATAAACTCACACCTCAATTTTATATTGTAACCGCGATTTATAATTATGATTACATATTCTTTTAATGTAACAAAGCTTAATAAATTTGCAATAAAATTATAACATAAGATTTCTAAAAATTCTGTACAATCCATATTCGTCATTTGATAATTTAATTATTGATTTTTTTTTTTAAAATGAATGTATATGCATTATATTCTAAAAGTTTCTGAAATTAAAAACAAAATACCATCTCAATAAAAGTTTATTTTGTTTTATAGAAAATGCTTTATAGCTAAATTATCTAAAGGTATAACTACTAGTTTACAAACTAGCTAGAGGCGTAGCTAAAGCAAGTTAAAAACTAGTTTGAAGCATATTTAAGTTAGTTTACACAGGAGCGGACTGGCCATAAGACCCGGTGGGCATTTTGCCCACAAGGCCATAAGAAAATGTCGATTTTTGAGGCCAATCAGAGTAAAATATCAAAATAGAGGCGATTAGAAAAAAATTATTATTATGTTCACATTATTTTCTCTTATCATTTATTTATTTTTAATTATCTCTATGATTTGAATATCACATTCCTTGAGAATTGTCATGTCGTTTACTATATTTTAATGCTTAATATATCAATAACGTCGCTTGACACTACACTTCATTACCACGTTCTTTCTTTGTTTTTTTTAAATGAAGTGTAAACGTTTTCGTTTAAGTAGAGTGAAAGCTAAGTTTTGATTAATTTATTATATTATATTCTTATACATTCATTTATTGTAGAAATAATATAGCAAACATTTCTTGATCTTAATTCATTGAAATCAAATAAAATCCAGGTCGATAAATCAGATAAAAGGATGGATGCTTGGATGAAACAGAATAATTTATCTAGCCAAAATAAGTTGAGAAGGCTGCAAAAAATAGGTGAGTTAAGGTGGTGGACACGTGAAAAAGTCCTTGGATATATGGTATAGAGAGTATGTAAATTTAAGACTCTAAGTACAGCTATAATATATTTCGAAATTTTTAAAATAATGAGGCCATTGTCATATCTTCAAACTAAAAAATTAGGTACTTTGTCAGCATGGAAAATGAAAGAAGATGCTAAATCTTCTGTATCATCGATTATTACATCGATTCAAAATAAAGCAATAAAATGGCTGCTAATTTAAATGAAACATTTTCATATTTTAGCTACTGGAGAGTATCTGAGTACAAAATGCTCTGTAAAAAGATCAAATAGGACGAGCGAAGAGAATATATAGTGAGAAATGCCAAGATGAACGTCCTCAAGAATCGATTGACCTTTATAGGTTCGAACTATTTCGTCCTATAATTGATCAAATTCCACTTTCTGCAAATTGAGAGCTTATCTTGAATGTGCAATATTTGCGTCCAAGACATTTTGATGAAATCAATAGTAAAGATATTTCTGAAAAGACTTTGGAAAAACTGGCACAATTGGCATATATATTGAGTGTTGAATTTCATAACTAATTATGTTCATTTGCCAGTGTAATCACATGTACAAGTGAGGAGTCAAATGAAGAAGATGGAATGTTACAATATGAAAATAAATCAGAGTATAATAATAAATGTATATGCGTGTATAATTCTTAAAATATACAATATGCATACAAGTGACACTAATTTATTTTTGGCATATGAATACATTTTAACTTTATCATTTACGCAGGATAATTGCGAGAAAGCATTTAGTAAATTAAAAATTATAAAAATAAGCTGGGAGCTAATATTGACCAAGAAAAATTAGAAGCGTTTTTAATGATGAAAGTTGAACGAGAACTATTAGCGTTAGTGTTGTTAAACGGCTCGTTTTGAGCCGATTTTTAAAAACGGCTAACTCAATATTTTAGCCAGAAAAATATTGCCTAAACCTCAAGATTTCTATAATATATGTGTATGACCCTTGTTCCTTCTATGAGCAAAATCTTCCAGCTTGGGTAATATTTTTCTGGATGAAGTATTGAGTTAGCCGTTTTTAAAAATTGGCTCAAAACGAGCCGTTTAACAACACTAATTAGCGTAGATTGAACTAGAAGATATTTCTGTATATTTGCGCAAAGGTTCAAAGTTAATGAGAGATTTATTAACGTAAAATTATATATTTTCTTAATTCTTTTATTAAAATCTTATTAATATTATTGATCGGTGCCTGATTTTATAAAAGTGCAGCAATTTTATTCTCTGTAATATTGTATAACTGCAATAATTTTATATTTATAATTAATTGATTTAATATATTGAGTATGCATTTTTTTTTGTATTTAACATGTGATGATTTGATTTTATAGTGCAATATCGTTGTAAATCTAATATAAAATATATATTTTAGATGAATATTATTTTATATAGGTAATG